TCCTACAACGTGTATAAAGCAGTGTACGCCTTGGCACACTCCCTGCACAATCTGATGTCCTGTGAGCCTGGAAAAGGGCCCTTTCAGAATAACTCCTGTGCAGAAATCACAACTGTGCAGCCCTGGCAGGTGAAAGATATACTGAAATAATCATTCAGATTTGTCAAATTCTGAACAAACTTGTCAAATAATTATACAAGATAAAAAATGAACTTGCTTGTTGTGTTCCTTTGTTATTAGCTTCAATAATGTTTTAAATACATTCATTCTATTTCCAGTATGAGGTTTCTATTGTTAATATTGTAGAAACCCATTTTGTCTTTTTGCTTAATCATTTAATAATTTGTATCTGCCTTTTTCCCCCCTCCCAGCTGCTGCACTACCTGGCGAGAGTGAACTTCACTACTCACTATGGAGACAGGGTGTCCTTCGATGAGAACGGAGATGCTCTTGCAATCTATGATGTGATGAACTGGCAGAGGGCCGATGACGGGTCTGTGAAAACAGTAACAATCGGTCTGTTTGATGAATCAGCTCCTGCTGGACAAGAGCTCACACTGAACGAAGACAAGATCTTCTGGAACTTTGAATATAACTCTGTAAGTTTAACTGCACATAACATGAAATGTATCTCCTTTGATTATTTCTTGATCAACTGCTTGAACAAATCATGCTATTATCCTAGAGCATTTGTTCTTAGGTTTTTTCCTTTCCCAGCCCCCCAGGTCTGTGTGCAGTGAAAGCTGTCAGCCTGGCACCAGGAAGGCAACCAGGAAAGGGGAGCCCCTCTGCTGTTTCGACTGTATACTTTGCGCAGAGGGAGAGATCAGCAACCAGACAGGTGGGCAGACGGTAATAATTTAAACTGGTGTTTAATTATATTCCCTGCTAGCAATGCTAAAAAGGATCAGTTCCATCAAACACTATGTTGCATTGTGTATGAGCTCCAGGTGTGACAACATCTGTCATGTTGTGGAGATTCTAACAACAAGGCAGTCCAGGCTTTCTCAATATCCCAGTAGAACATCAGTGTAATTACTGAAAAAGAAAGCCTGTTCTCTCTCATGTATTCTGAATCATAAATAAGCTTTTTTTTATGAAGGCAAAATATGTGCTTTAATAAAGACAGTCTTTCTTAAGAGAAATTCATTGTTACATTGTTTTTGCTTTCTTTAAATTCTTCTTTAAAGCAGAATAGTGAGCTGGACTGAGGTGGAGTAGTGTCTAATTCCAAAACATATACAGTACAGTACAGTGTATAATCACAAAGAGAAACAATTGCTGTCTTCTTTTACCTTCCTGGAAAAGTTCTCCTGGGATGCTGGTTGTACTGTCAGTCATAATTGTTTTTTCATCTGTAAACCCATCATGGGACTTTAACATGAGGGAGGGAATCTTTCGAGAGTGTAAATGTGCAAATTATAACACAGCAGCCACAAAACAAACTGAATACTTTATCTAAATACTTTATATACAATGCCCAGCCATCAGTGACAAAATGTGTTTTCTCTTCTTACATTTCAGTATGGATTTAAAGTCTTGTTCAGGTTGTACAGAATGTTTAAACATGGATATATAAAGTACATATTCTGCTTTTCCTTAATATAAACATTTCTGATTCTGTTTCTTGTAGATGCTTTTGAGTGTATAAAATGTCCATCAGACTTTTGGTCAAACCCAAGCAGAGACCAGTGTGTGCTGAAGGAAATCGAGTTTCTTTCATATGGGGAGACTTTAGGAAT